GTCAGGCTTGCCGGCCCTCAGAGCCACCAGTTTATAGTGGCAACAGGCTGACATGATGGCTATAAGGAAAGCTATTTCCCATGAAAATAGTAGAATGTCAGTCATGGCAAGTGGCTCAAAAGCAGGGCCAGAAATCTGAAAGAGGATGGGTTCGATGCTCCATCCTGGCATCATGGGGCAGATGGAGGGTAAAGGTTGTTATATCCTCTGAGAAAGGTCTTTAACAGGTAGATGGTGAAGAGAGAAGGGTTTCCTCTCTACCAGGAAATTGCATCTAGATAGGCTTTGAACAAAGAGAGGGTGGGGCCTCTGTCTGATAGGTTGAAGAGGAAGTACATCTAGTACATGCTGTGGTCAGTAGGGCTGTGCAAAATTATCATTAGTCCTTGTAAATTGGTTAAAATTTGTACTTACGATGTAATATCTAACATGTAGGTATGGCCAGCACCAAAAACGTAAGAATAAAAACTTACCCAAAATTTTTTTCATATGAATTTTGTAAACCTCGGAAGCGCCCAAAGTCAGTTTCATCTTCAGCGCAAGTAAGCAAAGCAAACCCAAAAAGGCTGCCATTCCTCTTTAAATGACCTCTTGCCATTAGGAGAGGCAAGCAGAAAGAATTCACTGGAAAAGAGACTGAGAAAGCACAGAATTCTGGAAAATGTAGTGTGGGAGGTAAGGAGCCCTATGCCAATTAATAAGAGAAGCATTCAATGAGAGAGCCGTTGTGCCTTTTTTTTTCACAAAATGTTTTTATCAAAACTTTTTTTAAAATTCCTAAAATCAGTAGATGTATGGATCTTTCTGAATGTTGGGGGAATGATCCCCTGTTATCTTGTAGCATTGTATAAAAAATTCAAGATGATAGCTCTTGTATTTTTAAAAAATGGTTTATAAAAACTTTCCCCCTAAAAAATCCATGGCTAAGTGAAACTTTCTGAACTTTGATGGGCTAACAGTGGTAAATGTGTTCTACCATTATAGCAAGTTTCACCCCAATAGGTGTAAAAATGAGAGAGGAGCCCTGAAATTTCCACGTTTGCACAACTATAACGAAAAAGTGACAAAATTTTGTTCCTCTCGTTGTAGCACCAGAATTTTCACTAATGACACTTTAGAAGAGTCATGGGCAAACTATGGTCTTGGACCGTGAGGTTCCTGTAGGTAGAGTCCATTGTGATTGTGTCCTCTGGGTGTGACTTGTGGAAGGGGACCCTTTGGCAAACATTGTCGAAACAGGTCCACTAGCCAATAGTTTGAAGTACCGCTCTTGGAATGGTAACGAACTGGAAGTTGTGATGTAGGCAAGAGATGAAGTGATGGATAAACTATGCAATGGCCGGAGGTGAAGATGGGCATAGGGGTCCATCTACTATTAATGCCGTGTGGCCAAGAAGGACCTGGATTACTCTGGCTTGAACCTGGCATCATTCCCAACAGTGTGCAATCTGTTTCTGGAGGATGTTAAATCTCTCTTAAGGAGAAACATTATGGAAGTCAAACATTGTTCTGATTAATTTTATTGTTGTTGCTGGGGCAAGGTTTGATTTCTCTGGATTGAGCAGGAGACCCAATGATTTGAGGAGAGATAGGGTGAAGTTCATATGGGATTGCAGAGTTGTTGGTGGCCAGGCCACCAGCAGTCAGTCATTGAGATATGTACTGTGCGGCAAGGAATTTGACATCTTGGTTAGATTTCAACTTGTCATCAGTGCCTGTATTGAACAGGCCTAAGGCAAAAAAGGGAAGATCTTCGATGATTTGTTGGGAGGCCGTGGACAGGCCAGAGGAGCCAATCCAGGCATGTCATTGGATGGCAATGGCATGGAAAATCATCTCCCCAGCTGTGTCTGCGTTGTGTTTTGCCATCTGTATCTGGTGATGGGCCAGGGAGGAAGCTTCTTGCCGCATCATAGGAAGCACTGCTTGAAACTCCTCTGACAGCTGAGCATGGAAAGGCTGTGCCTTCTCCCAAAGGAGTTGCTGATATGCAGACATGCAGGCCCCATAGTTGAAAATTCTTGTGAGCAGGGAAGCTCCTGAGTAGAGTGTATACCCAAAAGAGTCAAATGTCTTTCATTCCCTGTATGCCAGAGCCAAGTTTTTGATGGGCTGAAGACTGAGAGGCATTCACCGTGACCAAGTTCGGATCAGGATGGTTGGCTAGCCAGCTGTGACCCTCATCATCAGTTCAGTACCAGGCCTCAATCTTTTTCAAAGGCGGTGGTATGGAGGATGGAGTTGTCCAGGATGCTTGGGTAACTTCTAGTAGATATGGCAGAAATGGGAGTAATGTGACTGCTGGGGCTTCAGCCTGGAGCCTCTTAAAGACCTGGTCGTTGACAGCATTAGAGGTTTATTTGACTTCCATGCCAAATGCCTCGGCCATTTGGAGCATCTGATCCAAAAAGGCTTGCACATTGTCCAGTGAGAGAGGGTGGAGCCATGCAGTAAGTCTCTGGGTCCATTGAGAGGTTGAAATCAAAGGACAATATTGACTCAGAGCACACGGACTCAACAGACTCAGGTTTGAGGTCATTCTTTTTGGAGTGGTGGGACTAGTGTGCCACATGCAGGAGGATCTGAGGGGGTGGACTCTTTATAGCTACCACACGGGCTTCCGGTGCTCTAGATTGTGGTGGTGTGACCAAGCCTTGCTTCAATGCTGAGCCTTGGACCACTCTGGATGGGCAAGAAGTCTGGTGCCCCTTTTCAGGGATGTCTCTGTTAATGGGAAAAGTTCCTTCCCATTGACGGAGACATCAAGGGGTGGTTGGGGTTGGATTGGGGCCCAGACAACAGTGTACATTGATCAGAAAGGAGAGTCCTGTAACTCACTATTCAACAAGGACTCCACCACAGATTCTGGGGGCAAACATGGACGTTGAGACAGTTTCAGGGAAAGTGATGAATGGCACGATAAATCACTTTGAAGTCACATTGTCAACTCTCAAAGTAGAGGAGGAAGAGGACTGTAGTGGGACATATTAGGCCTCAGATGTAGTGGCTCAAAGCCTGCAAGGCCTTCAAAGTGGTCAAGCTTTTAGAAGGGCCTTTGATGATGTCAATGGTGCCATAGAGGTCAATGGAATCAGGACCTGTTGGTACAGGAATGTTTTAGACCTAGACACCGTGTTCTTGCAGGTCTGAGCTGTGAAGGCCTAGCAATGCTGGCATGAACTGACCACATGGTTCTCTCCAAAGCAGAGAAGGCACTTGGAAGACTCAGGGATCTTCAATGCACATTGGATACAGTGCTTGAAGCAAGTCATCAACATCTTGGAAAGGCATGTGATTCATGCAAGCAAAGTTCCAGAGAGAGTGGTGGCAGAAAAAAGGGACCAAGGAGCATGAGGCTAGGGCGCCTTTTATGCCCTAGGGAGGAGTGGGTGGGATTACTTCCAAAAATTGAAAATCAGAGCTTGGGAAGCTTTCAGTTAGAGTCTGTGCAGGCACAGTAAACCCATATATGTGTATTCACAGAGACCAGGAAGAAGAAATTTTAAAACAAAGTACAAAGATTATAATTATATACTAATCAAATGTACATTTAAAATTCATGATTTAAAATTCACTGGGTAGTCCTGCTGGACCATTGTCAGTTCTCACTCAACTGCCCTTTTGTCAGCCCACCGACCCACCTGCCTATGTAAGCTTTTGGTCACTTTGGAGCTGTGTAGGATTTTCGCTCCTTTTGCCTAGAATACACTTTCAAAATGGACTGTTAAATTGGCTGGGGTGGTGTCTGAAATAGGGATGGGTGGGAAGAAGGAATACTGTGAGCATGTATGGCACCTATTTGGTGAAGGGCAGAAATCCAGAACTGCCCTTGTGTGTCCTGCACCTAGACTATTTTTGGAGGTGACCTCTGGGTTTTTACCTTCAATAGAAGTCATGTGGCCTGAAGGTAATGACCCTTGAGTTAACCTTCCTGAAGTGACACACCTGGGAGCAACCCAAATATAAATGGGTTCCTCCTGGGTGCCCAAGTGTTTTCACCCATGAGAAACTAGGGAGATTTGGAGGCGACCAACTGCCTCAGCTGCTCCAGATTGCTCCCACTTTCATTAATTCACCTTGCAGAAAAATTACATGGGTTAAATAAATTTTCCCATATTTGAATTCGTATTTTGTGTGTGCTTCTTATATCCAGATGTTTGTCTTATTTTAATCATGAAGCCACTCATCCTTCAACTGCCCTTTTGATTTCCCTGCGCAGCCGAAGATCAACACTGTGAAATTCATCAAAAGAGAGTAGAGGAAATTTTATGTCCCTGAGACCATTGTGTTTTACTGGCTTGGAATCTGTACCCAGAGCAATTTTGTTGGTCAATTTATTTCTTTTGAAGTTCATATTTAATATTTTAAACTTTATATTATTGTTTTTGGTTTTGTTGTTGTTTGTTGCAGAGTGACTTACAAAAATGACACAAATTAAAATAATTAAATAAATAAAAGTAAGTATATTAATCCTATATAAAATTACCATTACTAAGAATCTAATAATAAATTGTTGGACATGAAAATAGCTTTAATGAAATCCCTACATCTTTTTGTTTAATGATTAATAACTATTATTGGACATTATAAATTCAGTTTACTTGTTCTTTCCACTCTTTTCACATTTTTTGGTTTCACTTGCTTTTAATATAGCGCTGGAGCTACATTATAAGCTAAATTAATCTGCAATTTTAAACACTTACATGTGAGTAAACCTATTGAATCCAATGGATCTTTGTGACTAAATGTGCATAATCCAGTGTGAAAATAAGTTTTGTATGATTTTCATTAATGTAGGCACACTTTTTCAGGATTAGGCCACTTGCATTTATTATGACGATTATAATGAAAATGCTATTTAAAAACGAGGAGATTATTCCCTTTTGTTATTCCTGTTTTTTATCCTTCCCTCTTTCATATAATTGGAGCTGTATTCTTATGTACTCTTATTTGACACAACCTCTGATGGTATCTTTTGCTACCACTCGCTTATTTTCTAGATGGGAAGTGATGGAGTTTTGCGCCTCAGTAGTTCTGCTCTAAATAATGAATTCTTTGCATATGCAGCACAAGGGTGGAAACAACGATTGGCAGAAGGTAATTTTCTACTTGTTATTAGATTTAACCAAATAGTGAATTTTCATTTCTGAAGAGCTGTTTTCTTGTGTGATGAATAAGAATATTCACACTGTAAATGTGTGTTTTTGTAAGTGAAAATGTAATGTGACAAGACGTTTACATATATACTACCATAGTTCATTCTCAAATTTATTTGAGCATGCCTGCTTATTTATACATGGCCCTGGAAAGCCATTTGGTTGACCTTATTTAAAATCTGGACACACATTTTGATCAGTATCAACTTTAGAAACCGAAATGCATGTGACTAAATTCTACTAATATATTTTAGTGATACTAGAGCTAATGCTCCAAATAATACTTTTGAGGGTTCTAATCTACTACCATATATACTAGAAGATAAGCTGAGCTTTTCAGCCTTGTTTTGGGTGGAAAAAGCCTCCCTCATCTTATAATGGGGTCAAGCCAGGCAGGCAGTGGAGCCTGGAGCCTACTGCTTGCTATAAGTGATTTATTTCTCTCTCTTCTCCCCCTTCCTTATCAGTCTGTTTTCTTTTCCAAATCCTCCCTCATTCGCTCAAGAGGAAGAGAAGCTCTTGAAATTAATCTTATAAAAGCATTTCCCCCTGAAATATTTGTTAATCTCTCCTACAGATATATAGGCATGTCCCCTTTCAAACCTTTGCAATCCCTATGCACCTATATATTATCTGGATCTATCTGTGTGTCTATCTATATACATTAATTTTATATATGAATTTTACCCTAATATTTTACCCTAATATGTTTTTGCAGGTTTTTGCAAATCCTATATACACATGGATATCTAGAGATTTCCATGTACCTGTACATCTGTATCTATATGTATACATTATATATATATATAAATCTGTATCTGTATGCATACATTATATATATATATAAATTTTCCCCTCACATGTTTGCAAGTCTCTGCAAATTCTATGTAGAAACAGATATTGATAAATATATAGAGGTACTTATATCTGTGTGTATATGTGTGTGTGTGTGTGTGTGTGTGTGTGTATAATATTTTCTATATGAATTTTCCCCTCACATGTTTTCAAGTCTTTTGCAAATTCTATATAGATATAATTATCTATATATAGATAGGTGTCTAGATAGATAGATATGAATATAGATATATAGGGCTTGTCCAATCTCGATAAAATAGTAAAGAGTAGAGACATCACACTGGCAACAAAGATCCGCCTAGTCAAAGCCATGGTATTCCCTGCAGTAACCTACGGATGTGAGAGCTGGACCTTAGGGAAGGCTGAGAGAAGAAAGATAGATGCTTTTGAACTGTGGTGTTGGAGGAAAGTTCTGAGAGTGGCTTGGACTGCGAGAAGATCCAACCAGTCCATCCTCCAGGAAATAAAGCCTGACTGCTCATTGGAGGGAAGGATACTAGAAACCAAGTTGAAGTACTTTGGCCACATCATGAGGAGACAGCAAAGCCTAGAGAAGACAATTATGCTGGGGAAAGTGGAAGGTAAAAGGAAGAGGGGCCGACCAAGGGCAAGATGGATGGATGGCATCCTTGAAGTGACTGGATTGACTTTGAAGAAGCTGGGGGTGGTGACGGCCGACAGGGAGCTCTGGCGGCTGGTCCATGAGGTCACGAAGAGTCGGAGACAGCTGAACGAATGAACAACAACAGGGCTTGTGAATATTACAGGGGGAAATGCACACACAAATATATATAGACATGTCTAGATAGGTATGAATATAGATATATAGGGCTTACAAATATTGCAAGGGAAATGCACACACACACACACACACATCTAGAGAGAGTGGTGTCTGGATGGATATAAACATAGATATATAGGGCTTGCAAGTATTGCAGGAGGGAAATGCATATAAAGAGATAGGATTTGCAAATATTTCAAGGGAAAATGCACATGTGAAGTTAGTATATATAATTATAGATCTATACTTAGCTTTGCATTGTTTATATAGGCATAGAATGTTTGCCTGTTACTATGTTATAAGCAGGCCTGAGTCCCCATGAAAAGATAGGGCGGGATACAAATGAAGTATTATTGTTGTTGTTGTTGTTCATACCATATTGTTTTCATGGACCCTACCTTTCCACTTACAGGGCTAGTTTACTGTTTTTCTTTGTAATATAGTAAATATTCAAAAACACCCTACTGATACCTCAATTAAAGTAATTTTATTGATATCTATTTTTATTTTTGAAACTTACCGGTAGCTGCTGCATTTCCCACCCTAGGCTTATACTCGAGTCAGTGGTAAAATTACGTGCCTTGGCTTATATTCAGGTTGGCTTATATTTGAGAATATATGGTACAGTGCCCCCGTGACACTTGAATAGTAGCTTCACAAGTTGGGGGACCATTGAGAACAGTAACCCATAGCTTTCATGAGATTGTAGTTGTATAATGGTGTTTTGAAAGAGATGGTGTGTGTGCTTGGATATACGCACTGCAATTTGGAAATAATCTGTGAAATCACAATCATCCAAGCCATGTCTGACCAACCCATATTCAAGTGGAGTTTCTGCAAAGAATCTCACTCAACATGCAACTGCACCTTTACCCCAAACCTTGGGAGCCTATATTCAATACCCCATTGATTCTCTCTTTTAGGAGAATTTACTCCTGAAATGCAGTTACGCATCAGACAGGAAATTGAAAAGGAAAAGAAAACTGAACCCTGGAAAGAGAGGTTCTTCGAAAGATTTTATGGAGAAAAGTAAGTATCCCTGTTTGCCTTCCGCTGTTAATTGGTATAAGAACGTAAGATAGCATTAAGGCACCTGCCTATTGCTGCTAAATGGTACTAGCGCTTGTGCCTTCTCTACCCTCTATGCCGCACTTTAGTTAGCGTTGGGAGCCAGATTTGGGCATGGTTGCACTTTATGATCCTTGCACTTTATGAATTTGCCCAACGGCACGCAGACATACTACTGACTGTGTTGCACTTTAAGACTCTGCACCTTAATAATCTCTAATTGTTAATTGTCGTGGCTGAACCACTTACCATCATCGGGACTATCATTATCCATGTGGTTCCCCATCCCCCTATTTGTGTTGTTCCTGCTTCTAGTGACCAGTGGAAGGGACGGAGGAGGAAGTGGGCTGGAGCCGGTGAACAATAATGAGGCGGGGAGGGGGGAGGAGGGGAAGCAAGGGAGTTGGCAGGGACCAACAAACCAAACATCTAATGAAACAGATATCAAGACCCTGGTTTGGGACCGCGGCATGGAGGGGGGGAGGTGTTCCACTAGCCGAGGGGCCCCCATAGAGGTCGTGGTGGGAAGGAGGAGATGCGGAAAAAGGAGACCTCGAATTCGGCTTAATTCGGACCGCTTATCAAAATTAGTAATCCCAAATCGGTCTCCTAAGGTAAATTGGTGTAACCAGGTGAGCGGGCCCTCTGGATTGAAGGTGGTGCTGCTGAACGCCAGATCTGTCAACGGAAAAACATCCTTTATCCAGGATTTAATCCTGGACGAGCGGGCAGATCTGGCGTGCATTACGGAGACCTGGTTGGATGAAGCTGGGGGGGTGAATCTGACCCAGCTTTGTCCTCCAGGTTTCTCCGTACAGCACCAACCGAGATCCGGAGGACGGGGAGGCGGGGTTGCAGTGGTCTATAGAGATTCCATCCATCTGACCAGGAACCCCATCCCGCAGACCACAAATTTTGAATGTGTCCACCTAAGGGTGGGTGACCGGGACAGAATAGGGATTCTGCTAGTGTACCGTCCACCTCGCTGCACTACAGTCTCCCTACCTGAGCTAGCGGGGGTAGTCTCGAGCCTGGCGTTGGAGTCTCAACGGCTTCTTGTGCTGGGAGACTTCAATATCCATGCCGAGGCGACCCTCACAGGAGCGGCTCAGGACTTCATGTCTGCCATGGCAACCATGGGGCTGTCCCAACAAATATCTGGCCCCACCCACTGTGCTGGACACACATTGGACTTGGTTTTCTGTCAGGGATGGGAGCAGGGTGGCGGTGTGGAGGAGTTGTCTATCTCTCCGTTGCCATGGACCGACCACTTCCTGATCAGATTTAGGCTCACTGCACCCCCTAACCTCCGCAAAGGTGGAGGACCCATTAAGATGGTCCGCCCCAGGAGGCTTATGGATCCGAACGGATTCCTGACGGCTCTTGGGGATTTTCCCGCCTCCGCGGTAGGTGATCATGTCGAGGCCTTGGTCGCTCTCTGGAATGGGGAGATGACCAGGGCAATTGACACGATCGCTCCGGAACGTCCCCTCTCAAGTAGCCGAGCTAAACCAGCTCCTTGGTTTACTGAGGAGCTGGCAGTGATGAAGCGAAGGAAGAGGGAACTGGAGAGCGTGTGGCGTTCAGACCCAAGCGAGTCAAATCGAACACGGTTTGTGTCCTTTTTAAGGGCATACGCCGCGGCAATAAAAGCCGCAAAGAAAACCTTCTTTGCAGCTTCTATTGCGTCTGCAAAGAACCGTCCGGCGGAGTTGTTTCGGATTGTCAGAGGTCTTTTAACTCCCGCCACTTCAGGCGGGAGCCCTGACAATTCGGTCACGCGCTGTGAAGCATTTGCTCGGTTCTTTGCAGACAAAGTCGCTTTGATCCGTTCTGAGCTGGACACCATGTTAAATGCAGTCTCTGTGGATGTGACACGAGCACCTGCTTGTCCTATTTTGTTGGATTCTTTTCAGTTTGTGAAACCCGAGGATGTGGACAAGATACTTGGAGGAATGAGGCCTACCATGTCCATCCTAGACCCCTGTCCATCCTGGCTTCTGAAAGAGGCCAGAGGGGGATTGGCTGAGTGGGTAACGGTGGTGGTTAATGCCTCCCTTCGGGAAGGCATAATTCCAGCCAGCTTAAAACAAGCTGTTATAAAACCGCTGTTGAAGAAACCATCACTGGACCCCACTAAATTTGACAACTTTCGGCCTGTTTCCAATCTCCCCTTTTTGGGCAAAGTCATGGAAAGCGTGGTGGCCTCACAACTCCAGGTATTCTTGAGAGACACGGATATTCTGGATCCGGCACAGTCTGGTTTCAGACCGGGACATGGTACCGAGACGGTCTTGGTCGCCTTAGTGGATGATCTGCGCCGGGAGCTAGACAGGGGGAGTGTGTCCCTGTTGGTGCTCCTGGACCTCTCAGCGGCCTTCGATACCGTCGACCACGGTATCCTTCTGGGGCGCCTTGCGGAAATGGGTCTTGGGGGCACTGCTCTGCAGTGGCTCCAGTCATTTCTGGAGGGTCGTACCCAGAAGGTGTTATTGGGGGACTGCTGTTCAACACCACAGCCTTTGACCTGTGGGGTTCCACAGGGCTCTATACTGTCCCCCATGCTGTTTAATATCTACATGAAGCCGCTGGGTGAGATCATCCGGAGTTTCGGGGTGCGGTGTCATCTGTACGCAGATGATGTCCAACTCTGTCACTCCTTTCCACCTGCTACTAAGGAGGCTGTCGAGGTCCTGAACCGGTGCCTGGCCGCTGTAGATGGTCTGGATGAGGGCGAACAAACTGAAATTAAATCCAGACAAGACAGAGGTACTCCTGGTCAGTCGCAAGGCCGAACAGGGTATAGGGTTACAGCCTGTGCTGGACGGGGTCGCACTCCCCTTGAAGGCGCAGGTTCGCAGCTTGGGTGTGACCCTGGATTCATCTTTGAGCCTGGATCCCCAGGTTTCAGGGGTGACCAGGGGAGCATTTGCACAGCTTCGGCTCGTGCGCCAGCTGCGCCCATATCTTGGGAAGTCTGACTTGGCCACGGTGGTACACGCTCTGGTCGCATCCCGCCTTGACTACTGCAACGCTCTCTACGTGGGGCTGCCCTTGAAGACAGCCCGGAAGCTTCAGCTAGTCCAGCGCGTGGCAGCCATGTTACTAACAGGAGCGGGACGCAGGGAGCACACAACGCCCTTGTTGTCCCAGCTCCACTGGCTGCCGATCTGCTACCGGGCCCAATTTAAGGTGCTGGTGTTATCCTACAAAGCCCTAAACGGTTCCGGCCCAAAATACCTTTCGGACCGCATCTCGGCCTATGAGCCCACGAGGGCCTTGAGATCATCTGGGGAGGCCCTTCTCTCGATCCCGCCCGCCTCACAGGCACGTCTGGCGGGGACGAGAGAGAGGGCCTTCTCAGTGGTGGCCCCCCGGCTGTGGAACGCCCTCCCTGTTAACATCAGACAGGCGCCCTCCCTGATGGCTTTTCGTAAGAGCCTAAAGACCTGGCTATTTGAGAAGGCATTTAATTGAGCCATACGAATCTGGTAATGACATTTGGAACGGACTATGGATTATGAGACGGGCTATGATTCTATGTTGTGATGGCGCGGATTTATTAGTGTGATTTAGATTAATGTGTAATTTGGTTGTTGATATATTGTATGTTTTGTAGACTGTTTTTACATGTTGTACACCGCCGCGAGTCGCCCCAGGGCTGAGAGCGGCGGTCAACAAATGAAGTAAATAAATAAGTATCAAAAGAAAAGCTAAAGGAAAGGGGTACTTCTATGTACTTTAACCCAGAAAGGTAAATAATGTGTACTTAAACATAAAAAATTTGTCTCTCATATAGAATATTTTTATGATTTAAATATTCTTATTCTTTTCAGGGCCAGATAAAGCATAGTTAAAATATATAGCAAAATCCTTAAGATCATATATATATACATACATATATATATATATATGTGTGTGTGTGTGTGTGTATATATATATATATATATATATAGACACAGATCCCAGATTTTAAAAAGACCAAAATTATTAATACCAATATAATGTAAGTTTAGTTTCCTAAGTTATAATTGATGGTGTAGTCAATATAAACTCCCTATTTAATAAAGGCAGCAGTTCTAGTCCATTAATTTAGAAATGCCTTCCTGGGCCACTGTAGCCTTTTCTCTCTCTCTTCACCACTTATTTTTCAGGCCTTTGTCCTGTCTTTCATGCCTAAATCGTAATTCTGTGGGCAGACACAGTAATTTCTGTATTGCTGGATAAACTGGGAGGGTAGTGTAATTTTAATTGATTAACAGTGTTAGCAGCAGCAATCCTGTTGCATATATTGGATAAAATTATAGCACCATCTCAGCCTTTCTCTTTAATGCAGTTTTGTTCAAGTTGTGTTTAAAGTTGGGAGTGGGATGCAGTTGAAAATACAGATGGGTTGGGAGAACAGAACAATTCATCAACCACTTTTTTCTAGGGGTGTGTGAAATTCCATTGGTCGATTCAGAATCTGGATAATATCGGAAATTTGGTAGCCAAGCCACCAGAAATGGACTGGGAAGGACCTCTTCAGAGCCTTCCCAGAATGAGAAATAGACCACCTAATCTTTCAGCTAAAAAATTCTGAAAGATTTGTTGTTTTGGACTTACTTTTCAAATTACTATTTTGGCCATTTGTTTGTTTTGCAAGCACAATCAGCAATATCTCCATGGGGCTGAGCAGCAAGCCACATTTGTGCCATTGTTTGTTAGCCAATCAGAGGCCTGGTTCTGTACATTCTCCTTCCCTCTTGTGAAGCATGCTGGCTTGGTCTTCAAATCCCAGAAACCCCTCTTGTGTTTTTTAAATGCTATTGTAAAAACTTTAAACATTTCCTAAAAATTAGTGGACTTGTGAAATGATTAGAAACTTGGCAGGCTCATATTCATAAATGTGTCCTACAAGTGTAGCAAGTTTCATCCTGATAGTCCTAAAAATGATGGAGAAATGATTCCCCTAAATGTTCCTGAATGCAGCCAGCAGCATCACATTTCTCAGCCAATCAGAGGCCTGGTTCTATTCATTCTCCTCCCCTCTTGTGGTGCACACTGGTTTGGACTTCAAATAACAGAAACCCCTCCTGTGGTCTTTTTAAAATAAAATGTTATTGGTAAAAACATTTTTTTAAAAAAATCCCAAAAATCAGTGGATTAGTGAAATGTTGTGAAACTTGGCAGGCTTGCAGTTGTAAATGTGGCGCACCAGTGTGGCAAGTTGCATCTTGATAGCCATAAAAAAATAATTTTTCAAGCCTCTCAGACAGAGAGAATGTGATTGGCCCAAGGTGCTTACAGTGGAAAAAAAATCCTAAAACTCAGTGGATGAGTGGATCTTTCTGAAACTTGGCCAGAATTATTACCTACTCCTATTCTGTTGCTGTGAAGAAATTCCAGTGGATACCTCTTTTGTTTTTTTAAATGTTATTTGTAAAACCTTTAAAAATTCCCAAAACTTCAGTGGATTAGTGAAATGAATTGAAACTTGGCAGGCTTGTCGTTATAAATGTGTCCTACAAGTGTGGCATGTTTGATTCCGATAGCAAGAAAAATTACCAATACCACCCCGAATGATCCTTAACGCAGCCAGCTGCATCATATTTCTCAACCAATCACAGGCCTGGCTTTGTCCATTCCCCTGCCTTCCTGTGGAGCACACTAGTTTGGACTTCAAATTGCAGAAACCGATATTGTGGGTTGTTTTAAAATAAAAATGTTATTGGTAAATACTTTTAGAATTTCCCAAAAATCAGCGGATCAGCAAAATGATTTGAAACTTGGCAGGCACCAATTGACCAAATCTTCCCAGAACAAAAATGTACCTCTGAATCCTGAATTATGGATCTGAAAAAAACTCTCCCAAATTTCCCAAAAACTGAACCAAGAGGAGGGGCATCCAAAAGCAGAGCTGAAAATGGTATGGGTTTGTACAGTTTTGCATACCCAACTTTTTTTCCATTGCTATCCTGCCAGCAAAATTCACCTTTGCTATCACAACCCAATTTGTGTAGCTGGTGGGAGAAATCAGGCTTTGAGATACTATATTTTGATTGAAGATGCAAATATTGACAAACATTTGCCACATTCCTAGAGTAGTGTTAAATTATCTTCTACTGCTCTTATATTTTATTTATTTATTTATTTCACAGTTTTCTATACCGAGCTTCTCAACCTCATTGAGGGACTCAGCCCGGTTTCCAGCCATAAAAAAAATATACACTCATTAAAATATCATATATCACAATTACAAAAACAACTTTAAAAACACTATATATAAAACTACAGTGGTCAGTCATCCTATTAAGATGGATCTACATTGACTTCCATCCAGGGTCCTATGGTGTTGTCTCATTCATCGAAGGCCTGACTCCACAGCCACGTCTTCACCCGTTTCCTAAATGTTAGGATGGATGGGGCAGTTCTGGCCTCCAGAGGGAGAGAGTTCCAGAGTCGCGGGGCCACCACCGAGAAGGCCCTGTCCCTCGTCCCCACCAGGTGTGCTTGCGAGGCCGGTGGGACCGAGAGCAGGGCCTCTCCAGATGATCTTAATAATCTTGATGGTTCGTAGGGGAGAATACGTTCGGAGAGGTAAACAGGGCCGGAGTCGTTTAGGGCTTTATAGGTCAACACCAGCACTTTGAATTGTGCTCGGAAGCTAAGTGGCAGCCAGTGGAGCTGGCGTAACAGTGGAGTGGTGTGCTCCCTGTACCCAGTAATCTGGCTGCCGTGCGTTGGACTTGCAGCAGCTTCCGGGCAGTCTTCAAAGGCAACCCCATTTTAAATGTGATTGGGGCAGATCAGCATTTACAGGGATTAACTGATAAATCTCATTCATTTCAATGGGTCTGCTCTAGTTGGAATTAACATGGGATTTAGCCTGTGGATCTTCCAATGCGATGTTACATGTATTTTGTACTGCTAACTTTGAAGACAGCCATGCTTGACTTTTCCAAAAGTCCTAATTTACTCAAAGCTAGGTTATTTTCAACATTTTTAAATAGCTGAAACTATTTTTTACTCAACAGACTGGAACAAACGGACTTGCTGGAATTAACATAATCTGAGTTAAATTACTTGTTAGTTATCAAAACAGATGCTGTATAAAATTAGGGAGTTTGCACCAGTTTTTCATACAGAATCAACCAAGAGTTAACAGCTTCTCTTGCTGTAGTTAATAATTCCAGTTCTATAACAGTGTTTGGCAGCTTTTTCTCAAGATAGGAATTCCAATTTTTCAGAAAACCCATTTTCAGTTTGGGATTCTGAAATAACATATTGTCTTTAAATTGTTGTATTGTTGCTCAGTATTAAACTTTTAACTACGGGCATCTCTTACAGTTGTTGTTGAAAAGGTAAGTAATTTTATATTTGTTTTTTAAAAGCAGTGTTTTGTGAATGCAGACTAAAATGAATCATTTAATATTTTCCAATATAGCATTTGAAAACCCATGGTGACATGAAGATGGGTTTTTTTCTATAATTACCAAAATGGCTGATTTATCTTAGTTCCCTTACTCTATATATTCACATGACCAATATTTTACTTTTGATAATAATGAAGTTGATTTTCTTTCTAAAATAGAGGATATTTGAAGTGTGATAACTGGGTAATTTTATTTTCTGATTTATGACTAGGCTTGGAATGTCAATAGATGAGTCTATGAAGCTTACATCTGTCCAAAACAATAATTCAGATGAAGAGAGTTCACCACGTGAGTCCTCAGAATTGCCAGGACCTTCAGGAGAATCCACTTTTGATGATCATGAAGAGAAAACCAACCAGCTACCACTTTTGGCAGAAAGAGATTTCTGTCAATCACTTTGCAATATGGAACATATTTCATCCAAGGATCTAATAGCTGAAGACATTTTAATACCGGAAGAATCTGTTATTCAAGAAGAGATTGCTGAGGAGGTAGAAACAAGTATCTGTGAATGTCAAGAGGAGATCCATAAAACAGAAGAAGTGAGCTCTGAACAGCTAGTTAGCCCCAATGATACAAATGAAGAAACAGAAATTATACCACTCACAGGGAACTCTGAATCCTGTTTTGTGATAAACAATGTAGTGAGCACATTGTCTCATGTTGAAATTAAAGTAGAAGAGAGAGTGGACTATTCCCAGGAAGAAATGGCAGTCATGACTGATCAGCTGGAAAATAGCTTATCCCCTTCACAGTCTGCTTCATCTACAAACTCTATAAGTAACATGGAAGAAAAAGATGTGGACGCCTCAAAAGAGCTAAGTCTTCATGGAAAATATTCTCCTGTCCTGAATGGCTCCTTATTCACTGGTGGGAGTGTTGCTGTACACATGGAGCTGCAAAGTGACCCTGATGAACAGTCATCAGAAAATGCTTGCATTTCTGAAACATCCTTTTCCTCTGAAAGCCCAGAGGAGCCATCTATCAGTATCGCATCTCCTGGAGGTGACACACAGTCTACTTCAGAGGAACCTTGCACTCCAGTATCTCTGGAAACAGCTTGTTCATCTGACATATCTTGCACTGAAAATCCTGAAGTTGATAGTCAACAAAAACCTATTGATCATATTAACACATCTTTAATGTCTGAAGTATCTCCAATGCCTGCCTCACCTGTAACCTCAGAAGCGTCTCTTATGTCAAATTTGCCTCTAACTTCAGAGGCATCACCTGTTTCTAATTTACCTTTACCATCAGAAACCTCACCGATGTCTGACTTGCCCCTGACATCTGAAACCTCTTCAGTCTCTTCTGTTCTTTTAGCTTCTGAAACATCTCATTCTAATAGCTTGTTGTTACCTTCAGAAGCATCTCCGCTTTCTGATTCCCCATTGACTGAAAGGTTTATTCAGCAAAGAAAATCACCATGTTCATCTGAAGAATCCATGTCATCAGTAAAAGAAGAAACTTTTTCAATTTGTAATGCTTCGCAAGAAGAAAATCTTGAGTCACAACAGAAACAGCCCCACAGTGCATCAGAAACAATGAAAACTGACATACCTGAAGGTTCAGCAGTAGAAGAATCCCAGTCTAGAAACTTCACAAATCAAGCATGTAAGTTGCACACTGAAACGGAAAAAACTATTATTTCTTCTATTGCAGAACAATCTCCCCCAGAAGTAATAAAAATTAGAAACCATGGTGTCCAGCACAGAACTGAAAAGAAAGGTGCAATCCCTCAGCTGGAAGTATCTGTTCTGACTGAAGCTGGAGGATGCAAAAATGCTGAATCTCTTCCATCTAAATCTCATGATAAGCTATATACCTCATCATCATCAGAAAAGTTCTCAGAAGTGGGCAGAAGCAAATCTCACAAGCTTCAAGGAAGTACACAGAGTCGATTTGAAGGTTCCCATTCTTCAAAATCATCTGAAGCTACAAAATCACCAGAAACAAGAGGTGAAAACAGGGACCTGGAGATTCCAAAGAGGAAGACTGCTGAACACTATGGATTTGGCATCTGCAAAGAGAAGCGAGCAAGAATTGAAGATGACCAGTCTCATCGAAATACCTCAACAAGTTCATCTGAAAGAGAGCCTCCACCTAGAGAGGAGCCAAGGGTTCCACCTCTTAAGGTAAACAGATGGCCGAGGGGCAGGGAGAACAGTAAAACAAACCTTACTATGTCCACTATCTGGAAAATATTGAATGTTGGGTTCATTTAAGAGAAAAAATCAAGATAATTAATCTTTTCCTACATGGGTTTCCACTTACAAATACAATTGGTATCTGCCAGTAAGTAATTGGCATCTGACAACAATCCATTTTCATATATACAGAGATGCTAGTTTAATTGCCAGCTGCTAGTAGAAAGATTTCCATATGAAGTCATATGAAGAATTGACACACTAGTACCTAAACCTGCATACTACCATGATGAAATACTCTGTGTATATGTGTGTGTGTGTGTGTGTATACATATAATTAGAAAACGATTCTAAAGATTACAGTTTGTAACATGATACATGTCATTTTCTAATTGGTTCTATTATAAAAAAACATGTGGAAAGTTTATTAAACTGCACTTCCTTGTTTTTATGGGATATCCTGCAGCACATTTTGCTATGAATATCTCATAGAGTCTCAACCAATTCAACATAGTAGTTGGCAACCCCAAAAACGAAATTTCTGGAGTATGACAACTACTTTCAAAGTAAGTATCACACAATTAAACAGGAAATAACTCTTTGAAACCAGTAACAGAAACATTTTCAAATTTTGTTACATAGTGTTATTGACAGAGCTTTCTGAGTATTAGCTTTGCCATTACATACACTAATGCATTCAGAGAAAAACCCAAGTAGATTGCATTGCATCCATGCTAGAACTTAAACTGTGGTGTAAGATTCATGCCATCAGTTTCTGTTACATTGATTTAGAATAGGGTTTGTTTTTTTTAAAAAAAAAAGCCTTGACCTAAGACAATAAATGACCATGATAGAAGAAGTTATTGGTACAGTTAAAAAAGCTTCAGATGTAGGCATTTTCTCTTAAATATGGCGCTCCTAGCAAATCCATTGTTCAGAAGTATACACCAAGGGTCAGACATAAATACTCCAAACTAAATACAAGAATTCATGCAATATCTGTTTTTTCTTTTGACCTATTCATTATTGTTTACTTACAATGCAATTATTTGGATCATGACAAAATGTTCTATTGCAAATGCTCAGATCAAAAGTCCAAAAAGTACTGCAGTCCCACAAATAGGGATGTGCATCAGCCACAAGATTCAATTAGGTCCCTGATTTCAAGATCTGAAAAACAGCCAAACATTGATATGAAGACCACCTTATTCTACTCTAGTGCATGTCTCAGTCTTGATACTGATTTTAAATCTTCATGTCTTCTGGTCATCCAATGACAGTCACTGAAGACTGACATATTGGTCCTTTCCTCCGAACTCTAAACTGGATGAAATTATTATCAGACAGATTGTGTCTGTTATTTTTCAAGCAAATAGCAGTAGGAGGTTTATGCTTTTAATTTATTTTTTGTCATCCTGTGGAATGGCAAATAATTGGTATATCCTGACAGAAGTAGATGTAATTTGCAGCTATAGTTCCTTTTTTAAGCAGCATCAAGGCTACTGTGAATCAGAATAATAGGTACAGGGAACTTTGTGCAAGAATATCCTTCGAGGACCTCAAAAAATCATGTTTATGCCTGTAGTTTGTTTATGTTCAACTGTTGTGAAACAAACATAAAGAATAGTAGGTTGTCTATGCAAAAAAAAAAGCAGTCATCTCCCCATGAATGAGAAGAATAGCTGTAGAGCTTGGGGTAGAATGCATTTTTCTATTCTATTTGATTCTGGGGGGAGAGAGTGATTTCCATATATGAGTCTACCCTTAATAAACTTTTGGGTGGATCTGTATAACAATGACACATAGAAGGTCGATCTAACGAAATAGCATGTAAAATATCAAAAAAACAGAAAAGAGAATGGGCCACTATGAAAACAAAAATACTTTAAAACTTCATTGATTTTAAACTAATTATTTATTTTGTTTTGCTTTGCTTTCATCTAAATCACAGTTCAATGTGACAAGTTTGAATTATAGATGTAGAATACTCAGTTTCAAGAGAGAGAAACACCCTGTAGTACTTCAGGTTTCCTCATGATCAAGAAATATTATTTTAGTATTCCTGCTTGTGGGATAGAGAGCTAGCAAACAGCACTGAACCATGAATCATCATCATCATCATCATCATCATCATCATCAACAACAACAACAACAACAACAACAACAACAACATTTATACCCTGCTTTATCTCCCCCGAAGCAGCTTAACATAATAGCATCTGCATAACCATTAAATACAGTATATACAAATATACGAGCATTAAAACAGGATTAAAAATAAATAGCAGATGCTAAAGGCAAGATAGGCTTGAGTCCTGCCAAGCAGAGGGACAGGCCCTCACCTTCAACTCTGCATAAGCTATTCACTGTGACTTGAAGCAAAACTTTCCCATTACAAAACTGTACTGCCTTCTTATTGATTACAATCTTTTCACCCTATGTTATTCATATATAAAGAATTTAGAAAGAAAGGTACTATTTTTGAAGAGGTTCTCCTGGCTATGTCTACATGTCCTTTTGAATGCAATCTGCTAGCTAGATCTTCAGAAATGTCCAATTCAAATTAAGTCACATTCAGGGACTCCTGTTTCAGTTCACACATTGGCTAAATCAGTCTGAGTCGTCCTGATTTGGTCTAGAACGCAGGATTTAAAAAAAATTATAAGCATAACCTTATTTACAGTGTTTAACAGAACTGAAGAAAAGCCTTGATAGTAAACTAAAATAAAATACCTGGGGGGGGGGGGTCATTTTAACTCAGACTTGGTTTGCAATTTAGAAATTGACTTTCTATGCCACCTGCTGTTCTACTTGTTACCTGCACAGAACAAATTATCCCCCAGTGAATACATTTTTGCAGTATGCAGTTTGAATGCAGAAATAACCTTCCATGAAATTTTAAAAAATAATATACACAAAAGGTTAAATGGAATGCTACATTCATGGTAGAGTTGGATTGTCACCCTTCCAGCTCTTGGTGACACAGAAAATCTACTTTAAAAGGTGTTTGCCTCCATTTATGGAAGCAAAGCATTGGATTCTGCCCAGAGGGACATATATAGGGGCCTCTTTGTGACAGACAGCTGATTGTCTCCTTTAGTGACAGAGTGAATTCATGGCTGGAATTAATTAGTAAAGTATACATACATTCTTTTTATTATTTTCTATTGACCCAATATGGATTGTTGCATGAGCTATAAAGTGAGTTATTATATGTTAGAATTCTTGAATTTGATTTCTTTGTTTCCCTTTCAGATACAACTTTCAAAAATTGGTCCACCTTTTATCATCAAGAGCCAGCCTGTTTCCAAACCAGAACCTAGATCTTCTCCGAGTACCTCAATCAGCAGTGGGAGAAACACTGGGGCAAGAACATTGGCAGATATCAAAGCAAGAGCCCAGCAAGCCCGAGCTCAGAGGGAGGCAGCCGCTGCAGCTGCAGTTGCTGCGGCTGCAAGCATTGTCTCTGGGGGCTTAGGGAGCCCCTGTGAAGGTGGAAAGACCAGGACATTGGCACATATCAAGGAGCAGACAAAGGCCAAGTTGTTTGCAAAGCACCAAGCACGAGCACACTTGCTCCAGAATAATAAAGAAACCAAGACTCAACATGCCCCCAAGGAAGTTCCATCAGCGCCAGAGATCTCTGCTTCTTCTGAAACAAAAATTGAAGTTTCAACTGGTGTAATTATAGTCAATCCTAACTGCAGGTCTCCTAGCAACAAGTCTGCTCACCTTCGGGAAGCCCCTGCTTTATTGCAGCAGCCACTTCATGCCACTACTTTACCAGAAACTAGTACTGACATCTCTGTTCACAATTCTGATGAAAATATACCTGTGTCTCAGTTGTGTGAGAAAATGCTTTCATCTACCTCTACAGAAAGTAACAGTGTGTCAGTGCTATATAATAAAAATTCAGTCCCTGTGTCTGTGTGTAGCACTGCTATGTCAGGAGCAATTAAGGAACTTCCTTTTGTCAGTTCTGTTGATAAGTCCTCTGTCTTAATGTCTGTCGAAAGTACAGACACAAAGGCTTGCAGTATAACCATGCTGAAATCCATTCAGGGAGCTGACACTCCATGCATAGCTCTCTTGCCAAAATGTGTTGAAAACGACACTGCTCCAGCCACAGTAGATAGTACAATCTTGACAAATTCCTTAGATGAGAAAAGATTGCCAGTGCCAAACAGCAATGCAAACAATGCCATCTCCAGCCAGTATACCACCGTGCCAACTTCAACTATTGCGAGTAATTTGCCAAATCATTTGGTTGGTAACTCTGTTTTGATTCCTCCAGTGGGATCTGCAAACAGATATTCTTCTGATAAGATAGCCATAACTGGGTCCAGTGACACAAGTTCTGTATCAAATACCACCACTGTTAGGGCAGCTTCACATTGCAGTGAAGCACATCATGCAGCCAATCCTGTTGGCAGGACTTCCATTTCAGTATTTGTGGGTAATATGATGACAATAGGTTCTTATGAGAATCCCACCAAAATGAGTTCGGATGCTATGGAGAGAAATTCTCAAATACGAACTCATTTAGATATGTCTGGGAAATCCTCCATAGATTATTCACGAGCACCTATGAATAGATCTATACCTTGTAAAGTCATTGTTGACCACACAACAACAACAATAAATTCAAACTTGTCACTGGGTATTTCAACCGAAAACTCTGAAAACAGCACAGATATGCAGACCCGGCAGATCAGGACAGAAACCGCCTTACAAAATGTAGCCTGTCCTCAAGTGTCTGTAATAAGTAGGCCAGAGCTGCTTACTCATGAAAATCCAGAGCATGGTTCTGGCTTCACTACTGGTAAAACAAAGCAAGATGGCAAACATCTGCAAGCAGCATGCACCAGTCTTCGAGAAGTGCCTCTTCTGCCTCAAAACAAACGACTTGAGGATGTTTCTTCTGGCCAAAGTTTTTCAGAACAATTGCGAGGACCTTTGGCTTTCAAAAGTGAAGTAGTGAGTGTCTGTACCAACCCTTATACTCCTGGTGGCAGAATCCGCTGGAATAAGGATGAAGCAATGAACACTGACCAATCTTTGTTAGGTCATCTTAACCCAAGTAAGCATAAGGAATACACTGAGCAAAACTGTTTAAAAAATGTCAAAACAGAGCCTTCAGCTTTCATACACTTGAATGAGATGCATTCCAGGAACATTGTGACAAGCATTGCCATGCCTGTTAAGTCAGAAGTTAATGAGTCTGACAAATGCTTTAGGATGGACACTGAAGATTTCCCAAGACCTGAAATGCCCCTCCAGTCTTCAGAAATAGCCACAAGTGCACATGCAGCACAAAGCTCCAAGAAATCTGTTACAGGTGCCATGGAGAACTCTTTGTCGTTAACAACTGAAACATTCAAAAGAGTTACAAATATTGGAAACTCAAGCTGTCGTTTGTCATCAGTGGAAGCCAACAATCCTTTAGTGACACAGCTCCTGCAAGGCAATTTGCCATTGGAAAAAGTGTTGCCACAGCCAAGGTTAGGAGCCAAGCTAGAAATTAACAGGCTTCCCTTGCCTTTGCAGACTACCTCACTATGTAAATCAGCAACATCTGAGAGAAATATGGTTGAAAATCCTTCCAACTCTCCAAACCCAGATGGCAGAGGATTTACTGCAGGCAACTTAGCCCCACTACAAATCAGAAAGCGGGAGAGCCATCCCAAAAAGCGAGTGGCCAGAACAACAGGGGATGTGAAATGTGAGCCTGGGAAGTTGTCCATGGACACAGACATGAAGGTGGGCCCATGCATCATCACTTCCAGCATGAACCAACTTGGACATGGCCAAATGTTTAAGCAAGAGTGGCCAAGCAAACATAGCATTCAGAGCAGGATTGCACACAGCCCAGAAATCAAGCAGCAAAAGAGGCCCTTGCCTGCATGCAGTTTCCAACAGAACTTATTCAGTGTGGACAAAAATGGCAGTTTCCACGTAGAAGCCAGTACTTCACATAGACAGCACTTCTACCAAATGCCAGTGGCTACCCGAGGCCCTGTTCCTACTACAGCAGCTCTGATGCAAGCCAACTTAAAGGTCCCACTGGGCTGCAACAGCTTTACTTTCAGTAGGCACCTGGAGCAGAAGGCATTGGGAGAGATCAACATGTCCACAGCTCCTCACCAGCTTAGGCTGGCGAGTGTTTTTTCGCCTAATATTCAGATGAAGGAAGGTGATGACATTCCTAGTGCCTCACAGACACTGCACAATAAGCCCTTAGTACACCCACCTCTCCCTTTACCACCACCCCCTCCTCCACCACCCCCTCCTTCCCAAAATGCAGAAGCTCCATCTGATCACAAACAACCGGCAGTTACTATGGAAACCACTAAAAGACTTAGTTGGCCTCAGCCGGCAAGCGTCTGTAGCAATATAAAATCGGAACCTGTTTCTTTTGAGGAAGGTTTAAGCAGCAGCTGTGAGCTAGGCATGAAACAAGCTTCTTACGATCAGAACGAAGTGAAAGAACAGTTGAAAGCCTTTGCGCTGAAAAATGCCGACTTCCCATCCTATTTACTTTCTGAGCCCCAGAAGCCTTTTGCCCAATTAACTGCTCAGAAAATACAGACTCAGCAACCGCCACAGCCGCCGCCGCAGCAGCAGCTCTGTGGAAATTACCCTACGATACACTTTGGTAGCACAAGCTTCAAAAGGGCAGCATCTGCCATTGAAAAATCCATTGGAATCTTAGGAAGTAGTTCAAATACTGCCTCAAGCCTATCTATTCAGAACACTCAGATTCCGGTTCAGAAATTTGCTGACAGCAGCAGTGCGGATGAGCTGGAACTGAAATGCTCTTGTCGGCTGAAAGCCATGATTGTGTGCAAAGGCTGTGGCGCCTTCTGCCATGATGACTGCATAGGCCCTTCCAAATTGTGTGTAGCCTGTTTAGTTGTGAGGTAGAATCTGAACCAGAGGTGCAGTATCCCTGCTCAGCCATGGACAGCAAAGGGAAAGTGGGACAACTGGAATGTGTAGGGCTGTTTTGTATCCGGGTACAATATATCAATAGGGGAAGCTTGGTTTAGAATTGACATATTTCTGCTTGCATGGCTCTCCTTGGTAGGAACAACCCCATTGAATCATTTGCCCACAAAAAAATTGATAAAACAAGTTTTCTTACTGTGCAAAAGCCAGCCAAACTGCATTTCCATGCCTGTTTATGTGCCCACAGTGCAAAACATCATTTTTACCATTTGTAAACATAACATACCTTCCTGGGAAAATAATTACAAGTTTCTTACTGACCAAATTTCTGTGCTGGATAGAGGGCAGAGGAAGCCCTAATCAGGGGGGAAAGACAATGGGAATAAATTGAATTATTTTAGCAATAGCAGATTATAATAGCTATTGCATTCCTTAAGCCATATTGGCCATCCATGATTGATTTATAAGCAGCAAGAAGGAACAAGACATTTTAGGCAACCTGATATTGATATGTTTGATCCCGTTATGGCAAGTTGTATGAAGAATTAATTAAGGCAGGCTACAAAGATTACCTGTGATTGGAATTTGCATGATTTTAGAAGTTGGGGCAGGGGAATAACTAGAGCTATTAGAATGCATTGCTCATTTTTCTTCCCCAAACCTCACTTATATTTTTTTCCCAAAGGGAGAAGACCAACATATAGATGTAAATGGACTAGCATGTTTGGAGCAGTGATATCATTTCAAATAGCCTGAAACTTAAACCTTTTTTCTAATTCTGGTAGTGTAGATCCCAAAAAGCAAAAAACAAAAGCAATTTACAGTCTTTTAAAACACGTTTACAAGTTGGTATATTTAAATTATCAATTTTGCTTGTTACCTTTGTGTGTATGTGTGTGTGTGTGTGTGTGTATGTGTGTGAAGAGAGTTCATGCTACCAGTATTGCATTAGCTGGTTAGAGCAATGAGAAGACTTTAAAGGGATACTTTAGTATTGGTTTATGTTGACATAATAGTGACCAGGCCTTTAGAGGAGTGCTGTAACATTTGCTACGTTCTTTTCGCCAATAAGTAAAATATTAAAAAGGGATAAAAATGTGGAGCCTGACAAAAGGAGATGCTTGATTATCTAAAAAGAAATGACTCTCCTTGCCCGATTTGCTAAGGAGTACATAAAATGTAGTGGAAGTTACTTGCATGTGAATTTAACCACCATAATGAAGTAAACATTTGAGAAATACATCATTCCTACCCACACAATAGAGCCTGACTCACCTAATGCCTGGCAACCCATGCAAAAAATTGGCAAATCCTTTCCCCTACTCATGAAACATTTATAATAGCAAGGTGCTGCAGTAAAATCTCCCAATACTGATATTTTATCATTTGGAATAAACAGCCCTGTATTTTTTTATTCCAAAGTATTAATGTAATGAGGGCAATAAACATAAATTAAAATATACACACGATGTACTGTATCATCTTTTGTTACTAAAAAAAATCCACAAAGACTTCCAGGCATTTAGAGAGTTTCTCCTGTTTGTAAATTATATTTATGTTCATGTGAGACCATACTTAATGTGAAATCTGCCATCATCACTCTCAGTCCCCTCCACACATTTTAATGGATTGGCATAGAGTACATTCCTTTAGCCAAAAAGCTAACAGGATTTTTGTTTTGTTTTCATAGCAAACAGATGGCTTTGGTTGGACTGGATGGCCCAGGAGGTCTCTTCCAACTCCATGAGTCTATGATTCTGTGTAAGAAGACTAGATGGTTATGATCATACAATGGGATATTTTCCGTCTAAAGCACTCTTTTTTAGAAGATTGATAACACTACATTTTGAGCACTTTTAGATGAGTTTGGAAGATATTGTTTTTGAAAAACCATGGTTTTAATGTTAAAAATGGCAATGCAGAGCCATTGATAAATATGCATATGCTTACATGCTTAATTAAATTAAAGAGAATTTTTACATAGAATTTTGGTATGGTGATTAAATATAGTGGATGAAATCTCAATTTCAGTTTATGCCTGAATACACTGGTTTATATCAGGGTATATTCTTTCTTTAATCAAATGATCACAGGAAACAGGATTGAACTAGAAAAATGCTTTCTACTTATCCCAAGAGGAAACGGCTGGGAAAGCATTGTCTTAGTAGTTTCAAAAGTTCACCAGAGAAGTGTGGACATGATCGTGAATGTGAAGCACTTAAGACTTCAGTTCTACACATTCTAACTTGAGAGTAAGCCCCATCAAACTGACAGTAAATGTACCCAATATACTCATGTATAAGTTTAATATGTTTAGTTACAAAAATACAAAAATCTAGGTTGATTTATCCACAGGTCAATGTTTTGTTTTGTTTTTTCATGTCAGGAGTGATTTGAGAAACTGCAAGTTGCTTCTGGTGTAAGAGAATTGGCTGTCTGCAAGGATATTGCCCAGGGGAAGCCGAGATGTTTTGATGTTTTACCATCTTTGTGGGAAGCTTCTCTCATGTCCCTGCATGGGGAGTCGCGCTCTCCCTGGATTCGAACTTCTGACCTGTGGATTTTCAATCCTGGCAGCATAAGGGTTTAACCCATTGTGCCACCGGAGGCTCCTCAGGTCAATGTGAGTACTATACATTGACTCTCATCAAAAATGGAGCCATCCCATGCTCTGACTATAGAGAGAGAAAGGCAGGAGAGACTAAAAGAAGCCCCAGTACACTCTCCTCTCTCTGTGTGGCACTTCATCTGGCCTTTTGGAAAGCCTGAGTGGGAATATGGTGGCAATGGTCAAGGGTGGCTGGCTCCATCAGGCAGCATTAGTGTTTCCCCTTTTCTGTGAAATGACATGGGTCCATTTATGCATGAGTATATATGGTACTTACTTACCAATAAACACATCCAGGATTAAGTCTTGTGGTCTTAAACAGAATGTGACTGGCTTTGTTTTCTCCAGAGTACATCCTTTTTCACCTATGTTGTGGCTAAAGATATATTATAGAGAGGTTCTGTAGTACTTCTGTTAAGGTTGGAAAAAGACCATGTTGATGTCTTATTTTAACAGTGAAAGTGGTAGTTTGTTACCACTTTAGCCTTATTCTTGTGTTCTCACAGTCCCTCCTACCAACCTCATGTCCCTCAGTGGTTACATGTAGCTTAGGAGTAGTTTTTTTTTCCCATGCTTAACTACAACTCTTCAAAATGCACAGTGAGCATTGCCATTTTCTCAGGCTTAGTGCTTGGACTTATATCTGAGTATAGGAGAGAGATGAGCAGAAGCCAAAGGGCATCCTTCTCATGTTCGGCCCCTTTTGAATAAAAATCAGATACACTACACACTCTTTCTGCATGTTTGCAGCCAAACAAATTTTAAACACACAAATATAGTCTGGCTCTCAGGATATGGCAGGAAAATATGGGTAATGATGAGGAAATCATTCCTGTCATGATATGTGTGTGTTTGTGTGTGCGTATGTGAGGATAGGGTGGTGACAATTGAATTACTCAGAATATATAAATGGGAGCATTGGACAAATGGTTGTAGATGTGTTTGTCCCAGTTTACCCCTATATTTAAGCTGCTGCTTTTTGACGTTCCACCTGCAATTAATTTGGTTTACTATTTAGAAATACCTGATGGTGGCAGTAGTGGCTTGTAATAATTGTTCCTTGTCTAGAAGAAAATAAGTCATCTGTTAACTTTGTGTTCTCCTTGTCTTTTATCCACATTTTTGTCCAAATTTTCGTACCATTCCACTGGATTCACTCATGCTCAGTTCATGTGATATAAAACCATGGAAGGGAAACCAGGCATAGGTGGGCAAAGAATGCAATGTGACAGTTGATAACTCAGCAGAGGAGTGGTTATAGATGGGAATGTTGCACCAGCACTTTTTGTCATACGTTTTTTCACATTGTCCCACAGTTTATCTTTTCAGTATATTTCTCCTCCTCTCAAAATTATGGCCTCTTCAGAACAGAGACCTCAAGTATCTGTTCATACATTAAAACAATAAGTACAAAAACCTCAAGCTGTCTCCCTGGAATGTTGAGCTGATATGAAACAAAAGTCAAAATAAGAGACATTATTTGGGAATTGTTCAAATATGAGGATGTCTATGTGTAACTGATTATTTTAAATAACAGATGAGAGATTCTGCATGCTATCAGCACCCCCATCCCCCAAATGACTTTCTCAAGTTCTGTGAAAGCTGTCTTCTAAACCTCTGTATGTTTTAAGGTTGATATTCCGTTCCTACTATTTGCTGCTATTTTTCACCTTAAAATATTTATATGGTCCCAGCTATTTTTCACCTTTTTTCAGCTATTTTTCACCTATTTTTCCACCTTAAAATACTTATGTGGTCCCAGCTAATCAGAAATCATCTAGTGAAGATGTCGATGAGAGATTTAGCAACTAGATGGCATCACTTCATGCCCAGCTTGAATAAGCGTAAGCGATAAAGAATCCATCTGGGCAACTAGATCGGTGCTACCTAGTTCTGCTGTGCTGGTGGTTTTGTCGTATGTTGACTTCCATGATGATTGGGGCCTAGTTATGTATCGAATTTCAGAAGGAAAAAGTGTTCACAAAATACTTCCCCCAGTTCAAAGTGGGGTTATTTTGTGTGGCAGCCATGTTTGCTCTGGGCAGTATGCTTTACAACAAGTATGTATGTATATGAACAATACATAATTACAATATCTTTGTAGGTGCATCTTAGAACATCTGTTTGGTTTTAAAGCATGGGTGTATGGCAGTTGTTCTCAATGTATGGGTCCCCAGATGTTTTGGCCTTCAATTCCCAGAAATCCTACCAGCTGGTAAACTGGCTGGGATTTCTGGGAGTTGTAGGCCTAAATACCTGGGAACCCATACATTGAGAACCACTGGTGTATGGGAATGTATCACTGTCATTCCCACTTTACAATGTAATTGCAGTGAGTAAAACCACTTGCATACTTTGACCAACACAATTACTGTATGAACCGAAAAGCCCAGTAAGTGGAGTGCTGATTGTCAATAGTTTAAAACAAGAGATGGTATAATGTGCAAATTGTATGAGGCCCCTTTCCAGTGAGAAACCAAGCAGAAATGACCTGGTGTAGACATATTCCTTATATATTCCCAGCTGGCAATGAGGAACAAAATGTATAATTTTTCCCCAGTTTCCCCAACTTTGTTTGCAGCACTTTTTAAAGTGAGATTAAAAGTCTCTGTTGTGTTCTTCCTTTTTCCTTTTTAAAAAAATACCCATGCATCCCTAAGGTCTGTACATAATGTCTGGGCACTTGCTACATTCATTTTGTGTTCCCGCCAATAGTTTTCTAATCTCAAAAGTCTATATTCCTTTTACTGAAATAAGATAAAGGGTTTGAGGAAGCAGACATTCCTGATTTTGTATTCCATTTACCCTCTGTGGTTTAGTGCATGAAATTAATTAATCGGGGCTAGGGAGGAGGGGAAAAGGTTGAGCCATAAAGCAAAAATGTATTTCCTCTGTACTATAGATTACCTTTTCAAGTGATATGTGTTGTCAGGGTGAATTACTGGATTCTATTTTCAGGACCATGGGATTTTCTTGCTCAGTTTCTCCTAAACTGGTGCATATTGGTGCTTTATAATGCAGTTTCTAAAGTGAAATGACCTTATGCTGCAGCCCTTACAAACACGCACACTATTTCAGAGAAATTGTTATAGTCTCTGGTTTTGCATAGTATGGTGAAGGCCCAGGATCAACATTCATGATAAAAGCTCAGAATCACCATCTTGCAGGATCATCTTAGCTTACCCATGTGAGGCCATGAGTTAGACACTGAGTGGCTTTCTGTGTCTGGCTGAAGCAGTTCTGTTCAACGCTGGGAGAAAGACCAAATACATTTTCAGTGGATTATCATGGACCTGTGTAGCTAAATGCTTCTGAACCTAAATGGGGGGAACCCTGTTGTCTTCAGTCATCATACTTTGTTGTTGTAAAACCAACAAAAATAGTATTTTTCCTCTAATTTAAAGGAGCTGCTGCTTTTATAGCACATATTTCGCTTTGTACTATATTTGATAGTTAAAAGATAATTTAGCCTGTAGAATACTTTGTTGTATTTGTACTGTTCATGAATGTTACAAAAAAGTGCTTTACTTTGTTGCCATAATTCTCCTGTACTGCTGTAAAATTATTATTATTATTATTTCTGCTT